TAGATAGATAGATAGATAGAGAGAGAGAGAGAGAGAGAGAGAGAGAGAGAGAGAGAGAGAGAGAGAGAGAGAGAGAGAGAGAGATCACGCGTCCCTGACCACCCGCGCAGCCACGATTTGACATGTTGTGTAGAGAGTTTTGAAGTGGTCGTTGATGTGAAGTCCTTTCCTGCAATGCTGACATTCGTTATTCCCTCCATGCTGGTCTGCGTTCATTACGACCTGTACCATTATCTTTTCGATGTACGATATGAGATGGAACACACAGTTCGCAACCAGCCTCGCCATTTGTCGCGAATTCGCTGTTGCAACGAACTTTTGAAATGTGTCCGTCGTCATAGGCAGCGCAACAGATTCTGCATCAGCATAAGGTGCTTTGCTAGCGACGACACATGGGAAGTTGTGACGAACGTGGTGACAATTAGGTGCGGCAACATCGCTGCACGCCAGCAGGGCATGCGGCGCAGGCGCGCAGTCCCCGACAGTGGTCCCAATTTCTGTGGAGGTTTGCATTGTGGTGTCGATTTCTTCACCTGCCTTCGTCCTTTCACCTTCTGCACTTCCCATGACAACTTCGTTCACACAAGTCACCTACCTCGTGTGTGTTGGAGGGCATCAATGACGTCCGAGCAACTGTTCAACAGAGACGTCATATTGCGAGGAAGGTCATCCTTAGCAATCGCAACACCCTCATCACAGAGACCGTACTCGTCTATGGTTTCCTTACAGTGGCGAATAAAGTCTGCTGCGAAGGCCAAGAGGTCGACGACACTGCGTGTCGAAGCAGTTACCGAATCCGTATTATATTCTTGGCTATCATACGATGCCCACCCCTCCTTGAACACACACTTCTCAGGGCTGCCACAAGATGCGACATCAAGTCCTTGTGATTCCCTGTGAGTTCTCTTTGTGACATGGGCGACGAACCGATTCAAGACCGCGGTGCGCCTGCGCCTTTCACTATCCGACCATGTCTGGAACTCGTCAAACGTGGTGGTCTTCGTTTCAACTATTGCCTTCAGTCTGGCAGTCATGTCCTCCCTCAGACGAGTTATGTCTAAACACTTAGGATCGGATAGCAACAACCAGAACACGGTGAAAATCCTGTGTTTCGCGGTTTCTGTCATTTCTACGAGCAGTGACTTAATACGGCCTACTTCGTCTGACATCTGTCTCGCCAATTGTTTATGCTTATGTACCTCGTCTGTTAGTTCTCGCTGGTTCTCTACTATCTGATCCCAGTTCCGGTCCATCTCAGTCGTCTTCTCTTCTTTGGCCCCCAGTAGTGGAAAGTGATCCGCCATTGCATCACACTCTTCGCCTGACTTTCTCTTCTGTCCGGTTTTGGCTAATCTTGACATCTGGAAATATATGTCCATACAGAGAAATACGGAGAGATAGATAGATAGATAGATAGATAAAGAGAGAGAGAGAGAGAGAGAGAGAGAGAGAGAGAGAGAGAGAGAGAGAGAGAGAGAGAGAGACCCTCACTACTTCCATAGTTGTTGTCAGCAGGCGCCTACCAAAGATTGGCTATATGTACGTGGCAACATACATTGTTATTTATTACTGTACATTTGCGTTTCCCCCGTACATGACTCGATATAACATTGGACAACACAACTTAACAAATACAAAGCAGACCATTCTTTCCAAACGCATCCATCGGAATGAGGGAGTGAGAGATATAGAGACGCAAGAGAGAGAGAGAATAGAGAGAGAGAGAGAGAGAGAGAGAGAGAGAGAGAGAGAGACGCTACAAACAAAGAAAGAAAGAACCGTCCGCCAAAACTAAAATGTATGCAGTTCGCTACTGCGGGCCAAAATCATACTTATGTACGTCGTTCAATGGGTTTGTGGCCCGCAGTAGTGAACTCTCTCTCTCTCTCTCTCCCTCCCTCCCTCTTTGATTCTCTGTCTCCCATTTGTAAGAAATAACAAAACAAAACAAAAGGAAGTAAGGAAAAAAACGAAGAAAGAAAGAAGAACAAGAAAATAAAAAAGAAAGAAAGAAAGGAAAGAGAGAAACAAAGAACAAAAGGAAGGAAGAAAGAAAGAAAGAGAGAAAAAACGAAAGAAAGGAAGCAAGAAAGAAAAAAAGAAAAAAAGAAAAAAAGAAAAAAAGAAAGAAAGAAAGAAAGGAACAAAGAAGAAGAACAAGAAGAAGAAAAAGAAGAAGAAGAAGAAGAAAAAGAAAAAAGAAAAAGAAAAAAAAGGTGCTGTGGCGAGGTGGGGGGTGGTAGGGCGCCGCCGGCCCTTCCACGCGGCTCCCGACTGCCACGTGGCAGGGCGGCGATTGCCCTGGCCCCCCTC